GAGAGGATGGATGAAAATGTAATGAAGTAAAAACAGATGGTGTCTTACTTTGTTGATTTTCAATGCCTCAGCACGATGAGAAGCGCCATCTGCACCAAGTTTGTTGTCCGACAAGTCAATGGTTGTGAGCGCCTATGATCGTACGAAGAAAGACAGATTGTTACGACAGTGGCAAATGGTATAGCTTTACGATATTAGTCTCTAGTGCCTTAGCAAGGTATCGAGCCTCATAGCCAAAGATAGAGCTATAGTGAAACCTGATCTCTTTGAGTGTCTATTTTGATATGAAAGAGTGTATAGTGTGATCAAGCAGGAAACAGATCGAGTCTGATTTGGTTGTGTTCCAATGCTTCGCGAAGCTATTTGAATCCTAATGAATTAATAGTACCCCATGACAAGTTAAGCGTTGTGAGTGCCTGTTAATATAGGGAGTAGTACACCATCCGAGCATTATGAAAAGGATGAGAACTTACTTGATTCGCCTTTAATGCCTCACCCAGATACTGAGCTCCTTCTACACCAATACTATTCTGAATCAGATCGATGGTCGTGAGTGTCTATTGTCACAGAGGGGAGCATACAAGATAATACTGTGGATGAAAGGTGAGGTCTCACTCGATTGGTCATTAACGCTTCTGCTAGATACCGAGCACCTTCTGCTTTGATAGAAGTATGGTGAAGGCTCAGTCTTGTAAGTGTCTATTTTTGTGTGATCAAGTCGATCATGCTCAGCGCATGAGAAAAGATCGCATCTTACTTGATTGACCTTCAGTGCCTCGCCAAGACACTTGGCCTTCTGTGCACCAATGTCATTGCCTGACAGATGGATGTCTGTCAACGTCTATTTTCACAAGAGTTAGTGCACCATGCAATGACGCTGGTCAAAGAAAACGGCCTACTTGATTGATCTTTAGGGCTTCAGCCAAACGGCCGACTGTTCTTGGACCAATATTTTTCTCGGGGAAGCTGAGGCTTGTCTGTGTCTATGCTATTAGATGGTGTAGTAACATTGAATTCGAAGTTCACAGCAAGGGTCTTTCGATGTGAGTCAGAATAGTGTCGGTTAGGTATGTGTCTCTCTATTGGCAATCGCGTAAGGGGTGCAAATGGTGTGGAGTCGGCTAGGGTCATGGTTTTATCACTCTTTATCTAACTTAAATCCAGCTCGAATTCAAAGAGACTTTCGCATTAGGATTAAAATGGAGATATCATAGTACCACCTAAAGAGCACGACGTATTTCAATGCGTTGTTTTTTTTGTAAGTTTACTATTCTAAAGTCGTTGTTCGCTGATGCACAGCTCTATTGAGATTTAGGTAACAGGTGAGTCATCAATCCAGAAAAACCAAAAACTCAGTGTCACTTAAACATTCAAGAATGTAACACGTTCACACATAGTTCGATGCAGTTTTTCATGAGGATTCCAAATGTGGGTCTTTTATCTCTGCATGATCTATCATTGTTTAGTTATGATTGTATTTCTCGAGGACAGCGGAATCGACTGCTGCAAAATTCGCAAAATTGATCTAAAGTATGGCGAGAGTATCTCCCAAACAGTATGTTTGAATGACCTAATGTCTTATATCAAAATGACCAACTTAATAAGCTCTACAAACTCTGAAAGTTTCAAGAAAATTGGACGTCGTCGCCGGATCAACCTGGCGATTTCTGGTGGATACACCCAATAGGAAATCGTGACCAAGCTTACCTGATATCGAGGATATGTAGATAAAACTTCTTCTAGTCGTGTACAGACACCACACACGCTTAGAAGAATTAGAAGCGGTGAGAGATGATCAAGTATGCGGTAGACCAGCTCAAACTGATAACTTATTTAGCTATAAGCGGTTATAGCAGCTTATTCGATACTTTTTCATGGCCAATTGATGTTTTGGTCTTCAGTCGATGGATAGATCGATGAGGATCAGCGATTTTGAACAAGAAGAGCTGCAAGGGGAGCTCTGCCAGTCTCTCAGACAATGTTCGTTTGAATTCGGTCGCATCTTGATTTTGAGAGGATGTTGCGCTCTCTTTGAAAGCTTGTGAATAGTGTCGGTGAGCATGCTCGATCATGAAATTCGGATCAGTCAAGACTCGACCAGTTGTGTCATCTCGAAATCCTTGGATCACTGGTGCTCGCTTTTTGAAGAGGTTTTTGCAATGATTCCAAAAGCGGTGCATGTTCTTCGGTTCAAGTCCCAAGCAGAATTCTTGCCATTGAGCTCTCCTGACTGCGTTGAATTCTCGATGTATGTAAGTATTCATCGAGCGTGGGCATCGATAGGAAGAGAGAGTTCTACGCCTATGCTAAATGAGATTCACCAAGTAATAGGTAAACCTGGTCGACAGAATTGGATGATGTGATAGGACAGCATCGTTCTTGTAGAGTCACAAAAAACTTTTCGTACGTGAGAAGGAATTCGATTGACTCATGACTCATTTGCTCAGCAAGGGAGAAGAAAAAGTTCTGTTTGAGATCGAGTATACATTGCAGTACAGACCAATCGATTCTCTTCACTTCTTGAGTCGTTCTGCTCTGACTAAAGAAGGAAATAAGGCGCGATAATGAGATCGATAACAGCTTGCGATCGAGTTGATGTCGGCTGTGGTGAATTGAAGATCTTCAAATTTTGCTTTTCATCAATCCACTCGGCAAGTCGATGACCACCCGAATTGCTGCTCACGTCGTGCCAATTGGGATGCCTCGAATTCAGATCTCCGATCAGTATTAAATTTCGATTGTGCTGATGAAATCGAGTGAGAACATCAATCGGGACTTCTTCCGAGGGTGGAGAATAGACAACAGCCACTGTGAATTTTTTATTCGAGTTGAATACATCGGCAGCGATGAGATTATTGACATCATGGAACTCGGAAACGATTGGGTGAGGAACTTCTCGAGCGATAGCCAGACAAACACCGCCGAAATCATTTGAACCATGTTGATAGTAGATGGTGTACCGAGTCTTGAAGTACGAAGCAAGTTGATGGTTGACCTCATCGTTGAAGTGCAGCCCAGTGAGTGCCAGATGCTTGGAGAGGACTCAGAAACGTAGTCGATAAGATCTTCGAGATGCAATCTTAGGCTACTGATATTGTAGGGCGAGAGTGAGAAACTGTTTCGTTCGGATGGTTGGTTTTCGTGCCGGCTAGACCATTGGCGAGTGAGAGCTGAGAGCGTGCTTGCCCTGTTCCATTCGTGAAGAATTGATCTAGCCGTCGCAAGCCGATGGGTAGTCTTCGATGATGTAAACAAGTAATCTTCTTCGTCAATAGTTGTTGATCGTATCCCAGTTTCATTCGAAGGGAAGAACTCTTTCGCATCGATGTTCATTGAGAAGAGGCGAGAGAAGATGACTGTTGGTGAGTCTTTTTCAGATGTGCAAAGGAGAAACCGCTTGAGAGAAGCGAAGGAGAAAGTGGTGAGTGATACGCGGTTGGCGGATGGCGAAGACGTGGAAGTTTGGTTTGCTGTTGATCGGTCAATTTGATGAATTTCACTGTAGCCAATTGCTCGCAAACTTCAACGAGCAACACTGACATTGTCGATACGTAGGGAACGATCTGAGATTCAATCGTCCACCGCAATGCAGCTTGTTGTTCATGAACTGCATCGCATTTTTCCTCGAGTTGCGTGATTCGATGGAGGAGAACTTCTTGAGATCGCCCAATTTCTTCCTTGAGCGTATTGATGATGATCGTAGATTGCTGATTTCGCCGGTCGGATGACTTGACTTCATGTTGCTCGTCTTCGTGGCTGCATACACATGAGGAACCATCGATTGAAGGACAGCCGAATACAGTTGAGCAGGGGAAGAGAGTGACTGTTGTTGGTTAGTTTCTCTCCTCTCTTTTTGTTGTTGTCTTTTCTCTCGGCGATAGGAAATCTTCACTGGGCATTCAGGTGAGCCAGCCATGTGTTGGCCATCATAATTGGCACATTTGACAGCATTCGCACATTCTCGATTGTAGTCATGCTTTGTGACCGAACTGCTGACAGCGAAAGCATCGATCGATTCGAGCCAGCGGTTTGTAAGCCACGGCTGCATATCGTATGCTATCGATAGATATGTGAGAACAGTGGAGAATCTTCTGAACATCTTCATTCGATCGAAAATCAACACGGATCCGGTTGATCGGCTGTCCATCGCGAAATATTCTTGCCACTTGAACAGTAGACAGATATTGTTGAGCGATCAACGGTCTCATCGAATCGACATGCCATCCACGAGGAACACGGTTTACCATAATAGAATAGGACGTTGAAATTCGACTCGGAAGAGTGACTTTGAATGACAATTCACATATCGAAGTCGGCCATGAGCTGCTCTCGAATAACATTTCATAGATCGAAGGATCGTTCGCAAAGACGAGTAGAATGTGTGGCGATTGCGGATGAGTTGAGTAGGAGGCAGCATTCACGTTCAATCGATCGTCGTATTTCACAAGATCATTGAGCAGTTTAATTTCCATTGGTTTCTGTCGATCTTCGAATCCCAATTTGAACGGTGGTAGATTCCGTTTCCTTCTTCTTCCTTCAGTATGTGGCGATGATCCACCTGGAGACAATTTCTCAAAGCCATGTTGCGGAGAGGTTGGTATAGTTGGTGCCTTATTATCTCCGAAAGAGAAGTATGAATGAACTCCATCAATTTTCAAAGTCTGAGGGACCATTTGACCAAAGACACTCATGATTGTCGTTGATGCATGCGTATTGGTTTCTTGGATCTTGTTCGATCGTTGGTTGTTGACCGTCTGCCGTTTTTCATCAGTCTCACTCATCTCTCTGTCAGTCACAATGGTTTCGTCCATCTTCATTGCAGCATTCTCTCTAGCGAGCTGTCTGATGGCATTTTCATCAGTTCATCTGACAGCCTCGAAGATCACCTTGGTTCTTTCCGATTCACTTTTCGGATAGGTAGGTGAAGGAGAGAGTTTCTCCGCTTTACCCATCTCTCGAAGGTTCTTCACTCACGCGATCCTTGGTTCAGTCCACGAGGAGAGAAATTGATTTGAGAAGAGAATACTGAATTGAAAAACACAGCCGAAAATTGGCGCACAAAAGGAAAAGTGAAATGCTCTTGCATTCTTACATGGTGTTTGATAATAAAATGTTGACTGTTATTTATTTTTTGATAAGAAGAATATATCACACATTTTATTCATCTACATTTTTATTCAACTCTTCAGGTAAATTAAGATGGTTGGAGTTTTGTTTTTCAGTCTTTTATACTATATTGTTTATGCTGACAAATATTATACAATTAAACCGTATGGGGAGTAAGTGTAAACTAATGAATATAAGTGATATTTTCCAAAAAAGCAAAAAACTTTTCTTATTTCAGTTCTAGTGTTTTTCCACACTATGGTAATTTTTCTGTCTTTGATACAAAGTTAAAAAGACTTTCTTTTATCGGTAATTTTACTTTTGATGTACATGATCGGTCCAGTGTGTACTATTTTATTGGTGGTCCTACAGCTGTGAATAGAAACTTAAGTTATATTTATCTGCCTATTACTAGTGGCAATGCTTTCAAACGTCTTCTTTTAGTTGCTTATAATTATAAAACAAAAACATATCATCAAAGTCGTTGGGTGTATAATGATGGTAATTTTGGTTTTCTTTTTTACGATCCTTTAAGAAAACGACTTTTTGGTTTAAGAACTAATACTACATTTACATATTATATTGAAGAATATGATATAGAAACATTAGATACTGTTAAACTATATACACAACAAGATGTTGGAAAATATGCTTTTATTAATGGAAGATGTACTTCATTTGATTATAATCAAAATTGGATTATACAAGTACGAACTCGTTTTGATAATTCATCTTCTAATTCTTATTGGATAAAAATGGATTTAAATTTAGTTGGTAAAAAAGAAGATATTGTTACTGATTTTCATATTATGCCACATGCATATTATTTTCTTACGATGACATATGATATTCAAAAGACAAAATTGATTCTTTGTACATGGCAGAATGGGTCAAGCCTGTTCGATATATACATGTTTCATTTAGATCCAAAGCAAAATGGAAAGTTTCCTTATAGAAAACAAAATCTAAAATTATTATTAAAAACTAACGGAGAACAGGTTGAAATGGTTAGAGATGTATGGAATCCAGTCAGGAGGGAAGTACTTTATCTGATTCAAACTAATACCGGTGGATCACTCAAAATAACAAGATATATGTTGAGAATCCAATTCGATACACGACGAGTATTGGAAAAGACAATACTAACCGATAAACAGTTACCATTCTTGGATTCGTGGGAATATTTTTACTTATCTTAATTTTAAAATAAATGATTGCTTTTTATAAATCATACATCTTCGACAACATTAACAAACGGTGTGAGCATGTGAGTCAAGAGCTATACCGTGACGCGTTTCGAACTTGTTTAAGGGTCTCATTAGACGGTTTAATTGAAGATGGACTCTATTCTAATGATCGTGAAGATCACAAATAAGCGATCCATATTCAATTTAATCTATGATTGAAATTGAAAAGGTTTCTGTATGATTTCCGAAATTTTCTATTCGCTATATCATTACTGGGAAGAAAGAAAATTAAGAGGAATGAATTTTATTTTGTTTTTAATGCTTTACAATAAATAACGTGAATCGCATCGATTCACTAGGTCCATTGCCTGTAAGTCCACTGAGTGTACTCTCGAAATTATTATTCATTCTATTGTAACTCGACCTTGCTACTACAGAATTGATGCATATTTTTCGCGGTGAGAACGTCCACATTTTCCATCTTAGTTTACAGAACCACTTGCTTTAGCTTTTCATCGGTGAGAAACATTTATCAGAATTGCTATAGTTCATCGAAACTCTGTAATTTGATTTAGTTTTATCTGTCGTACAGATGTTCGAAATGGACGTAATATTACCAAATCTATCAGTCTTCTTACCCTTGATAAAGAAACCTAAGTGGGGTCAAAGTTTGGCCTTCTTCGTCAAAACAACGCGTACACCTCCCGTCGGTCGGTGTTCGCTAGAAAGTATCTACTATGCGTTATGGTTAATTCTCTGACATGATGTGTCAACTTCGTAAAGTACCTTCAATCTATACTAGGCTTCTCGAGAGTACCCAAAGAACCCCAGGGGCCTAAAAAAATTTCTAAATTACAGACAATGCTCACGCGTCCCTTCGGTCCGCGGTCGCAGCCAGGATAGGTGTTACACTTCCCTGATTTCACATAAAGCTCGAACGCAAGCACGTCTCTGCACCAATGTCAACGACACTCATTAGTGATTCTGTGTATGTACGTCCGTCACACTGCCACATGACTATTTGTATGTGCGTCCGTCACACCCGCTGGTCACTATATGTATACACGTCCGTCACACTCACTGGCCACGATATGTATGTATGTCCGTCAGACTGCCACATGACAATATGCATGTACGTCCGTCACTCTCGGTTGTCACCGTATGTATGTACGTCCGTCACACTACCACAGGACTATTTGTATGTACGTCCGTCACACTCGGTGGTCACCATATGTATGTACGTCCGTCACACTCGCACACGACTATGTGTATGTACGTCCGTCACACCCGTGTACGGACACACACAAACACTTCCACTTTTTCGTATGACCATAGACTTACAGTCAATGGAATAAAAGGAAAGATGTGTATGGGAATGGCGATAAACTGATATGTTATGGAGTAATTTTTAATTCGTAGTGTTCGATTTTTAGGGTGAGTTTCTTGATATGTTTCTTTGTGTTCTGAGGATGCTTGTTGTTGTGAAGTATGATATACCAATTCTTTGGTCAGATTTGGACTGTTGCGTTGGCCAATTATAAGTTTCGTACTGGTGATTGGTGTTTCCACAAATATTTGATTCCATAATTGACGAAGGTGTGTGATTTGTTACTGTGAAATCTTTTTTCATGTGTATAATGAATGAATGATGGTTTTCTTGAATGTATTAAGTTTCTTCAATTTTGCTTTAACTAATGGATTGTTGTTGTCTGAATAGCTGTTGAGATCGATTGCTTTTGCTATTCGCAGTAGTGTCAAATTTGAAAGTTGAATTCAGCTTTATCGCTAGCAGCAACCTAAAGACTAGTACGGAGGAGAATCGGTTTCACTTATATAGGATGTCCAATAAGGGGTATTAGTAAAATACGCTCCAAGCCACTCTCACCCATATCTATCTTGAGAGTGTGAGGGTGTGAGGGCGGGTGTGATTGAAGAAATATCCACACCCACACACCCTCAAGATGCCTGAAATAAGTGAATCGAGAGCTCGACTCACATGTTTCTTCTTTTCTGTGTTTGGTACGGTATCGTGTCGAGTCGAGAAGAGAAAAAACAATTGTATGATGATTTATTAAACAAATTGCAACGAGAAGAACTGCTGGATAAAAAATGTAACTCAATTTGTTAGTGAGTCTAATATACTGCAGCCAACATTTTCTTCACTCATTTGGTATTTTATTTAATGTGAATAAAAGTGGCAACCAAGGAACATAATTTCACAATCGACTGTCAGACATGTCATTTTCACGATGAAAGTGACAAAGGTGTCACCGGTGGTCATTTACGTACCTACGACGAATTTCGCGTCTCACACGATCATGTACCGCGCAAAATACATGTTTTAATACCTATTGATTATCTGTCCAACAATCAAGCGAAACGATATCTCGTCATTTATATGAATGATGGCCAAACGGCATTTTGGAATGGAGGCTTAGTGAACAAATCTTGGAATGTAAGTTCTTACAGCAACAGACTATATCAACCTAATTTTGATATTTTGAGGTTGGACAAACAGTATCTAAGATATACGAGAAAGATGATTCTAAACAAGGGATTGTTGTTGCCATTCATCCACTTGATCGCAATCGAGAATATACGCATACACATTGGATGTGGTATGTTTATATTTCATAGACTCTCTTCAAAAATCATTCACCGATTATGGTCCACGAGAAAGGATTTTAAATTGAAAACATGAGAACAGTGCTCTATTCTGTGCTTTCTGCCCAAAATAAGCTTATGCTCTATCATTTCAATAATATCGTCACTTTCTATTTTAATTTTTTTCAAGATTCTAAAGATTTTTTGTTCGTAACAGTACATTTTCATGAATTTGTTAGATGCATTTACTGGACGTCATTTAAACTTTTACATGAGAAATTAATACTTGCTACTGTTGCGGAAATAGCAGAAGATGAATTCTTACGTGATCATTTAAAAACAGAACTCTTACTTTCGATAGATTCTTGTGATTCTGGAAGTGTGGCTCTGTTAATGATTGAATTCTTCCTTTCAAACACACGAAACTAATTTCGTTGAACTTGTCAATTCTGCCATTGCTTTCTCTAGGTATCTATATCTAAGAATCGGAACTTATCTAATGTCTGCTACTTTGACGCTCATGAATTTGACATTTTTCGATATATTACTTATTGTAAACGAAACTGAAAAGGCTATAGTTATTCTCTCAAAATAGGAAACAAGCTTATGGTGGAGTTGATGATTATAATGATAATATTGTCAATAATGTCAAACCATGGATCGACAAAAACTATCGAACATTGCCCACAGCTAAGCGTACAGTTATTGCGGGTATTTGACTTGAAATTGGATTTTGTGTGATCAGAGAAGTATTGTAGGTTCAAGCCATGGAGGATTAGCAACCTTTCACATGGCACTTTCTCATTCGTCTAGAAACAAGGCCACCGATGGTTCTTCCCAAATTATAATTATTATTTGTTCTAGCACTGCTAGAACAAACTCTGTATGTACTTATTTTGAGATCAATCCCTAGTTGAACCTGAAATGAGTGCATCATGTTCCCGAAGAGAAAGCGGGGTAAAACATATGTAATTTTACGTGCTCTATCTAATGAGACTAAAATTAGAACTTAGAATTTGGTAATTAAGTCGAAAAGCGAGTTTTTGTCTTAATTAAGTTTTTCTTGAAACGCGTATATTTCTGACAATACGCGTTTCCGAAATGTAAAACATTCAAATTCGGATAGAGCTTAAAATTTTATGTATACTGGTAGATTATCAGTATGTGATTGAGAGACACCTTTTCTCACTCAAATCGCAAAATATAAAAATAGACTAAATGTTTCTTATATCGATGACACGATAGAAAAATAAGAACGTGCTTTATCATATGGGAAGAGAGAAGAAAAAAACATATTCTCTTTCTCACAGTGAACACGAACTTATATATGCAGAACGGAAAAAATGAAAAACTTAAATTTTAAACGTTCAGAAGCATTTTTATGCAAAACCAATGCGATATTCGGAATCTACGAAAATAACTGCAACGAATGATATATAATTCGACGCGTTTTGAAAAAGATTTTTCGTCCTAAATTTTAGGCAAAATACCTGAGGGGGGAGGGGACCTCAGGCAAAACTTTCGACGGGAACTTTTTGTCTGCCTTTAAGAAGAAACTTAGGTGAACACCGTTTCTCGACATGCCCGATCCGGATATTGCGGTCTCCCGGCTTGAATCGTTGCGAGGAAAAAGCAGGTAGTTTTCATATGTTAAACGTATATGTGCAGGATGCTAAAAGGTGTTGTAAACACAAAGTAGGGCGCCCTAAAACGAAGCAAATTACTTACGGAACATGAGTGAGTCGTGTTTTCATTTATCAAAGTGAAACCCAAATTCTTTATCGTTCTATATTAAACTAAGCACTAGCTAGTTCTTGCTCTCAACTAATTACCTGAACTAGGTCATCATCTAGTCTGTCCTTAAGTACTATATCCGCGCCGCCTGTAGATGACGTTGAAGGACCGGTCTGGGATTGCTGTTGTTTTTGTTGGTGTTGAGTAGCTACAATCTCAGTTACAGTTACCTTTTTTAATGAATTATCTGATAACTTTCGATAAACATGACCATTTCTAGTGACAATCATTTTTTTCTCAGATACACCAACTGCATCACGTGCAGCGTGAAACAAATCCAACGTACGTTTGGTTAAATCTTCGACAATATATATTTTAGAATTTTTTCGTCTTAATAAATAAGTTGAACGCAGTATTTGTTGACGAACAGGTCGACTTTCGGTTTTCCAGTCAGGCTTTCGAAGAAACACTCCACCATTCATCAACTGGTAGATCTTGTACAATTCATTTACGAGGATAGGGCGTTAGATAAAGATGTTGAAGTTGTGTTTTTAGACTTCAAAAAAGCTTTCGACAAGGTATGACACAATGAACTGCTGCACAAACTAAGGAAGAAAGGTGTTTGCCCTCAGCTGGTCGAGTGGTTTAAAGATTATTTACTTAATCGACATATCACAACATTGGTTGGTGGCAAACAGTCAAAATCCATCCGAATTAATTGTGGTATACATCAAGGTAGTATACTAGGTCCTCTCCTGTTTCTCATTTATATTGATGATATCGCACATGACCTGACTTCAAAAACACACCTTTTTGCTGATGATATGCTACTTTATTGTAGTGATAAGAGTTATAATCAGGTCAACTTGACCCTGAACAAGGATCTTGCGCTTATTCAGCAGTGGTCCGTTCAATGGCTATTACCGTTACATTTACCAAAATGTGCTTCAATGTGTTTCTCTAAAAGACCACTGCCTGGAACGCTGATGTTTGCAGGTCATGTTCTCGATCGAGTTGAGGAACTAGTGGCACAGCCACAGGTTGGCTAAGCCCACCCAAAAACTGTTTGAGCCCACTCTCAAGATATTTGAGTTAAGAAATTTTACTTGCCTTAGGCTTCGCATTCATCATTCGATCATGCGTCTTTAACAAAGCGAAGAAAAAATGGGTAATACACATGAAGTCAAACGTCGCTGGACACAATGCTGCGGTATTGAAAGTATTTAAAAGGCCCCTGGCATGATTTCGCCAGCATCCTCCCATGCCTTACAAAAATATCTTCGAATCGAGCCATACTTTCAGAGTTTGTACAGAAAATGCACTCGTATTTTACCATTTCCCGATGGCAGGATGGAGGAATATGTCGACTTTTTTCGGTGGGTTTGAGTTTTCAGAACAAAATGCAAGAACCGAATGAAAGCCTGTGCTAACGAGGGAACATTCATTGTCAGCTCAAAGCTACAGAAAGAAAAAGGAAAAATGAATTTAGGGCTTTTGTTGTAAAGTCTATAACTTTTCAAAGAAAGGTCGCGTAGAGGTGGGAGATGTCTCATTTTGATCAGAATGTCGTGGGCTACAATCATGACTTATTAAGAAAAACTTTCGAAGACTTTTCGAGGGTTTTAGAAAACCAGTTTTCTAGAAAATCGCACTCTAGGAAGGCCTAGCGGCCCGTCTCATATGGATATTTGGAATCAGCGTGGTTCATAACCTAAAACCCGCTAGGTTGATGAAATTGAATGATGTGCAGTGCAGATGTACTACTGCGCGCTTCGATGCTAAGTCAGGCACATCAATACACCAAAGAGGATCAAAAAATGGTGATATAAAAGGATATGGGAGATATAAAAGGTTTAGAAAAAGAGTCGCTCGGTTGGAAAAACTGTAAAAAAAAATTTCAGGTCATTGGATAAATCACATTAAGACAGGAAAAAAGAATTTAAAGATACAAATAATATGAATATCTTAATAAGAAAAATCAACGAACAGAGCATTACAAAAAAGATTGTGAATTGAGATGAAAAGATGCACTTATTTCGTAAACAAATTTTATGAAGAAAGTTACTGGTAATACTAAAAGGTCCTTTTGCGTTAAAATAATTACATGACTGACGAATTTGTCAACTTTCGCAGTTAGAAAAAAAGCACGAAATTTTGATTTAATTTTATTTCATGTTTCATTTCTACTTAAGCAACAGATATCTGTAATTGTTTTGGGAGAATACAATCTAATATTTCTTTTATATTAGACTATTCTGAGATTATTCCTGTATTTCACTCTTACACAACTCACAGCGCCGAGACTAACATCCGGAGTATCCCATCTCATGGATAGGACCAATTTCAGATAAATTTGTTTTTATCTTGCTATCTTCTTAACATTTTGGATCTTTTTTTTCAAAAGTAGTTCTTTTCCACGGGATAAGACGATTCAGACCAGGATCAGAACTTGATCCGAATAAACCTAGTCACAAACACTAACCTACTTACAACCAAACATATAACGAATTATGTAGCAGATCAAATTGATGCGCAAGGATTCAAAACTCGTGAGACTCTTGACCTTATGCAGAAAATGATAGATGCGAAGGTGGAAGTAAAAGAAAGAGAAGCTAAGAAACTCAAAATAAACCTTCGCTTGGCTACGAAACTATTTCGTCAGTTAGCGTTTTCTCATGTGCAATACTTCGACACGTCTTTGCAAGAAAAGCCAAACACTATCTCTTACTAATTATAATATGTTCTATTCGTACTTATATACTTAGTACAAGTATATATATAATATACTTATAATATATTTTTGTTTGGACATATTCATGAAAATACAGTTAAAATTTTCGTAAAAGAATTTTTGAGAAAAATTCCTATTTTTGCCTCAAGTGCAAAATCAGACGGTAATAATGAATCGCAGGAAAGTTTTACTGTAATTTAGTCTGGATATGATTTAATTTTACTTACTTGTATTTATAAGACAAAAGTACTTTGCTTTGTTAGTTAGATATACTAACAGCATGAGAATTTTTTTCATAATGGCTGTTTATCAGACAAAAATAGCGATAGTGATGCCACGAAAAGTAGTCAATTATTTGATATATGGTTAAATGGTGCAAAAACCAGTTACGGGTAAGAGTCTTAAGCTATAATCTGAATTTTTAGCTATATAATTTGATATATTCATACGAATTCTCTCAGTTCGAAAATCGATTACGCTCACAACTTGCCTTACTACATTAATTATGTTCACAAATACTTTACTAACGCATCCTGCTTCTTTGCATTTCACATAAGTTGTTAAAGCAGAAAACGCTATACAAGTTCTCTTATGTTTAAGCGGGGAACCATTAAATTCATAAAGACCGCTGCCAGGCTTCGTTAAGTTTCCGATTAACACATCTTGAAGATTTTTCAAGGTGCATCGAATGTCCATTACAGTCGGCTAAATACTGGATAGTTAGAGCGAAATTTTAACAATATTGATAGTATGATGGGGTGTTTGTCTTTGGGTAGATTCAGTCGTTTACGTCCAATCGGAACCGTTTCAAAGGGTGGAATCATCGGATAAGATAATTTTGATGAGTTCTGGATAAATTGAAGCAATAAAATGTAGTGGGGCGATTTTGAGTCTTATGCGGACTATTTCATTCTCCCCAATAATTTTCGTATCATAATTTCCTTCTATTATATATATTCTTATGCAGTGCAAGAAGCTCACTTGGAAGTTTTTACAGCTCCGCTTCGCAGAAGCAACGCTGGCAAGCTTTTTTATTTCTATCATCCCTGTACGATATCTGGGTGATTCTTTCGGAAACGTACCAGACTTTACATCGACTTTATCCGGATCGTTCGAGAGTAACAGGATTAGTAGAACTTGGGCTCCTGATGACGAATATCACGTTTAAAAAGTTTTAAAACAACGGCATTGGGGTCTTCTAGACCTGTGGAAATCCCATTTCCCAGCAGAATAGTCCTTTTGTAGGCATTTTCACCATTTTTTAGTGAAACACTTTCATGAGCTGGTACTGTCAGATTAGATTCTATATGTGTAGAGCTACAAAATCACTAACGGACACAAAGTTCCAAAATGTTAAGTACGCTCTCAGGAAAATTTTTAAAAAAATCGTTTTTTCCGAAAAGTAGACGCGTCTTTTCAAGCTCTATCCAGTGAAGTGGTTTTCACCGAGATTAAAAAAGCGTTCAATGATAGAAAAAATAAACCTTTAAAGGACATTTTTCTCGTTTTTCAAAGTTTGAGTACCTGTTGCACCATTCCACGGGGTTACAGGACGTGGGATGACATATATCTTGCATATACTCGACGTGGGCTATTAGAAAAATAGGTTTTTATCTTTGGCCAAGCACTTTCAGAAAAGCCTCTTTTCAGCAGAAAATTCCACAGGATTTTTGTCTATTTCGACGTGATTTAAACGTGATATTCGTCATCAAGAGCCCAAGTTCTACTAATCCTGCTTCTCTCGAACAATCCGGATAAAGTCGATGTAAGCGTGGTACGCTCTCGAAAGAATCACTCATCTGTCGGAGTTCGAAACTGGCTGTCTTTAATAATTCGTATGAATATATCAAATTATATAGCTAAAAATTCAGATTATAGCTTAAGACTCTTACCCGTAACTGGTTTTTGCATCATTTAACCATATATCAAATACTTGACTGCTTTTCGTGGCATCACTATCGCTATTTTTGTCTGATAAACAGTCATTATGAAAAAAATTCTCATGCCGTTAGTGATTCCACCCTTTGAAACGGTTCCGATTGGACGTAAACGACTGAATCTACCCAAAGACAAACATCCCATCATACTATCAATATTATTAAAATTTCGCTCTAACTATCCAGTATTTAGCCGACTGTAATGCACATTCGATGCGCCTTGAAAAATCTTCAAGATGTGTTAATCGGAAACTTAACGAAGCCTGGCAGCGGTCTTTATGAATTTAATGGTTCCCCGCTTAAACATAAGAGAACCTGTATAGCGTTTTCTGCTTTAACAACTTATGCGAAATGCAAAGAAGCAGGATGCGTTAGTAAAGTATTTGTGAACATAATTAATCTAGTAAAGCAAGTTGTGAGCATAATCGATTTTCGAAGTGAGTGAACAGTTTTTAACAATAAACGTGAAACAGTAGGGAATGGGAAGTGGGACTTCCACAGGTCTAGATGACCACAATACAATTGTTTAGAAGGATGATGTAATTTTCCGCAGCTAAATTTCTACGTATATGAACGGGATTGCGTTAATTCGCCTCGGTGTTCCTGTGGTGCCGGTAGAAAGGAGGCTATATAGCATTTTCTCCTTCATTGTCTATTTCGACGTGATTTAAACGTGATATTCGTCACCAAGAGCCTACGTTCTACTAATCCTGTTACTCTCGAACAATCCAGATAAAGTCGATGTAAACGTGGTACGTTTTCGCAAAATCTTCATTATCTGCTGGACTCAAATTTGAACAAATCGATCTTCACGACGGAAAGTGATATTTACTGTTTCTCACCACGAAGAACGATTTCTGATAATCTCGTTTCAGCATATCGAATTTACAAAGTCTTAATTAGATCTATAAGGATAGATTCAGAATCAGCGTCAAAAAGTGCATCTGGCGATGTGTTGCATGAGGTGTTTTCATAAAATTTGTTTTCCAGCAAAAAGTCGAGCAGCTAACGAGAAAGACAACAAAATGAAGTTCTTCAACGTGTGGGTTTTAACTCACAAAGACCACAAGAAAACCTACAAAGTTTTCTACATAAAGTCTATAATAAGCCACCACAAAATCTCAACAACCACCGTATAAGATAGCATACACTCAAAAACCTGTAAATCGGTAAATCAATGAAAACGTAAATGTTAGGAGGTGTGCACTCCGGCACTCCGTACAATAGTCCGGTGTGGCGAAGTGCGTTGTTTTCTTTTAAAATAAAATATTTCTCTCAATATGCTTCCCCCAAAACGGAACAATCCGATTCCCGAAACAGGACAATCCGGTACTTTCCTTGGGAAAATTTCCCAGATAACGGGACAGTTGTATTCTGTTCTGTGAATTCTTTTTCCACAGACAGGACGTCTTTGCTCTGCTTGTAGGAACAGAGATTTCTGGGACAGTTCAGTTCAATAAAATTTCTTAAGCCCGCGGTACTCCGAATCACTCCGGCACCCTACGGAGTGCGCTTTTTCCCCCTTGTCCTATATACATATACAGGAGCTATGCTGTATCTACTACTTTAATCTTGTTTTCATGGTTCATTTCTACTTTATTTCATTTTCTACATAAAATTAATGTGGTTATTCACTGAATAACTAAAGTTTTAACACATGTTATGTCTGATTATCATGACCCGAAGCGAAAGCCGGAAAGTCATGATAGTAAAAAAGAGCCTTAAAACCTTTTCCAGAACTGATTCAGAAGCTTACTCAATTACAAACAAAAATTATGATTTTTTCGTGTGTTCAGCGGTGATATAGGCAGCTGACATCTTTATAAGTCTGAGGTGCATTTTATTGAAAAATATTTCAGCACAATGTTCAAATTCTGTACTTAAAGATCGCGTGATAGGTGGAAAAGTGTACTGTCTAGTTAGTGATATTTTAATTGTTTAACTTGACGGATTATGCATTAAATTGATAGTGTAGAAATGTTCTTGGATACAAGAGTAAATGAATATTCCCACTAAAGTATAGCTGTACAAATAAACGTTTAATATAAAGTATATGCGGCTATTCTCTTTTCGTTTTCTCCGTTCATCCCGACATACACAAAAGAAAGAGAATCAGAAAAGAAAAAACATATGCAGAAATATGCCTAGAAAAAATGGGAGAATAGAATAAAAAGCGCTAGTTTCCACGCAAAAACAGTTTTGCGTTTCTTTCTCAAAAACTAAGAGTTGTCCAAGGGTTGAAAAGGGGTAGCATATCTGGAGTCCTCATTAAATTCCCCATTGATTGATGCATTCCGTTTCCTTGTAAACCACTCCCAGGAAAAGTGACCTGTTTTATCATGTACTTCTGACTGTACCGTCTACATGAATAACAAGAAGCTAATTCGGTACACTTCAGCTGTATTCGATATTTCCACAGAAAGCTTGTTTATTCAGACACCGCAGCAGAAGTCTAAAACGCGGCAAAATGAAAAAAATACTCACTGAAAACTGAGCGATAAGTATCACTTTTCACCCCTTACAGAAGCACTACATCTTGAACAAGTTTCTAACTTCAAATTAATTCACACTAACCACCTTACTTTTCCAATTTAATCTCAAATTGAGTGCAACTTTCTTCAATAAAAATCGCGCCGTTCTAATCACCAAAATTTTCATAGGGCAGGTTCAGGGTTCGAATCTCTGTAGCATAATACTGTTCATCAATATATTGTGCAAGATCAGCTGCTATAAATGATGCTGCTTTTTCAGAACAAGCTCCAATAACGAATGCTTTTGCCGACTGTTCGATTTCCGGATAAGTGTCATAAAATGTGTCTGTCTGTTTTCCTCCACGTCCATCTGATACAAATTCATTATAATCGTTAAATAAAAATATTTTACTCCACTTGTGACTTGTGTTAACACGCATGGCACCAATAAAATTCAAAAAATCATCCGTATCATGCCAGGAAACGTGAAAGTGTCTTAGTGTCATATAAAGTAATGTACTAACTACTAAAAAGCACTCTTTCGCAGATGAATGATAGAAAGAACATGGTGTATGGCTTTTCCTGTCGACGAATAAAATTTGTTCGCGTAGCCTTTTCGGTCTAATGGGGAAGATGCCGTACACTTTCAGCCTATACAATCATGCATTCTTACTATTTTCTTAAAAATTTTCCAAAGACTCATTAAAAGACCTCTTGACCCTTCTGAAAGTATGTACATTGAATTCAGCATCGAATTTTACCTATTTGCGGTTAATTTCATAAAATTTGAACGAAAATAAAAAATCTGTTGGTGAAGGACCTGGTCGATTTGCCTATCGTACGGAAATGTATTTCTCATCAACAAAAAAAGAAGAACATACTTTCGTTGTCCATCGAACGGCACGTCGAATGGCGTAAAAATGAAGGCTCCATCTATTGAAGCAAAAAACTAAATAGGTTTTGAAAAAAAGGTTATAATCAGTTCATGACGTATATAGAAGGAAGTCTGAAAGAAAAGATGTGCATAACGGGTATTACCAATGATCTCATACGTCGTAAGTCTTTTCTTCCTTTTACAGAATACTAGACTCTTCATAATAGAGACAGTCAGTAAAGAACGTAAGAGATACCTTTTGTGGAATTCTTATGAAATGAATCAGACAGTCCTCTAGAAATGTTACTATCCCAGACTTTCATACTACCTCATTAGATCGTAACTAGCTTACTTCAACCGGGCAATTACAGCCTAAAGAGCATCTTTATCGCGAGAGTCTTAATCAAAAGTACATTAAGAGTCAGAGAAAAGTAATCTTTCATCTATAACTACCATTTATTCTAATAGTTTTCACAAAAAAACAGCTTCAAAAAAATTTCTGAAAATTATTTATAAAATTGAACATAGCCAT